AGATGAGCAAAAATAAAATCATTCTTTAGGGATATTCCAGTAACCCATAAAGATACCTGTGGAAGCAAACAAACACATAAACAAAGCACCCAAGAAAACAAGCTTTACCAAAGATAAGTTTATACAAGTTAATTACCAACCATACAAGGACATACTGTATAAACAAAGCAAAAATATAAAACTTTAAAAATATAAAGCAAAACTGTCAGAAACAGAACTGTAGTAGAGGATTTCCATTGCCGTGATATTTTGGGAAATTAATTAGATAATTATTAATACAAACATTTATATGATCATATTCTAACTCTCTTCTTTTCTCTAGAAAATGATGAAATAACTTTAGAAAAATTCTTTTAAAAAATGATTTTGGCGGGGCTCGGTGGCTCAGCCTGTAATCCCACGCCTTTGGGAGGCTGAGGTGAGTGGATTGCCTGAGCCCGTGGGTTCGAGACCTGCCTGGGCAGCGAGACCTCATCTCTACAATAAATCAAAAAATTATCCGGACGTGGTAGCGCGCGCCTGTAGTTCCAGCTACTTGGAAGGCTGAGGCGGAAGGATCGCTGGAGCCAAACAGGTCGAGGTTGCGGTGACTGGGAGCGGCCACTGCACTCCAGTCTGGGTGACAGAGTGAGACTCCAACTCAAAAAAAAAAAAAAAAAAGATTTTGATTATATATGAATATTGTATGGCCAATTAAATACTTTAAGTCAGTATAAAATAAGCATTTTTAAAAATGTAAGTAAAACGGATAGAACAAAAAGCACATACAGAAAATATTACTTTTAAAAAAAGAAAATATATTAAAATATTTTCAAAATTAGGATAATGGAAAATTTCATGGATATATTTATGCATTCTCTATATTTCTCAAAATTTCTATAATTAGGAGTAGAGTTAAAATGATAAGACATGAGAGAGCCCTGATATTTGGCAAAATCATACATAATTTGATACTGTTGGAATTGCAAATAAGCTTAGAAAATGGGTAGCAAGCTGAGACCGGAAAGGTCACTAAGAGTCTCATCATGAATATTAAATGTATTTTTTTTTAAAGAAATATAAGTTCTCTCCAAAGGTTTTGGGAAATGAAAAATTTTAAGCTAGGAAGTATTTATCAGATAAATGTTTTCAAAAATCACTCAGGCTTTACAGTGTAGATTGGTGAGTGCAAAATAACATAGAAAACCAGGCTACTGTAGTATTAATATCTAATATTTATTAGGTGCCTACTGTGTGCCAGAGACCACGTGTTGTACATTTTGTGTATCCTAGTTTGTTTAATTCTTGCCACAGGTAAAAACTATTATCATCACCCTCTTATAAAAAGGAAAACAGAGACTAAAGAAGTTGCCCAGGGTTTCTCAGCACATGGTGGAGCCCAGCTCCCATTACAGGTCATCCAAAGTTAGCTTGTAGGCTCTTCTCTAGTGCTTTATCCTATTGCCTGCTAAAGAAGAGAACTGGATAGAGACAAATTTATAGCAAAAGAAAATGAGAAAGAGATGGGTCCAAGATGTTTAATTAACATCTCTTGTTGATAAAGTGGATTTGGGGTAGGGAGTTAAGGAGAGAAGGCAGTCAAGAACAATTTGGGAGAGACAGGCAGAATTGAATGTTTTTGCACATAGCAAAATAATAAAATCACTGAAGAAAACAGGACATTTCATTGATTTTAATATCTAATGAATGTTTATTTTTGAGTGATTAAAATGCCACAAAATAGAAGTGGCTTAGTCTTAGGATGCATTGAGAGTAGGATGGAGAGCACTTCAGGATATGGTGTTACTCAGCTTTGTGCGTTTTAACAAGTGATTTCATTACTGCTCTGATGGAGCTCAAGTTTCTTTTCTTTCTTTATATTATTATTTCTTAAGTTTCAATAACTTTAGGGATACAAGCTGTTTTTGGTTATATGGATGATTGTGTAGTGATGACATCTGGGCTTTTAGTGTACCATCCCCTGAATAGTGTACATTGTACCCAACAGGTTATTTTTCATCCATCACTCTCTTTCTTCCCTCCCCTTTCCGAGTCTCCAATGTCCATTATACCACTTTCTATGCCTTTGTGGACCTCAAGTTTAGCTCTCACTTAGAAGTAAGAACATGTGATATTTGGTTTTCTGTTCTTGAGTTACTTCACTTAGGATAATGACCTCCAGTTCCGTATAAGTTGCTGCAGAAGACATTTTAACATTATTTTTTTGTGGCCGAGTAGTATTCCATGGTGCATGTGTGTGTGTGTGTGTGTGTGTGTGTGTGTGTGTGTGTGTACACTACATTTATCCATTCATTTGTTGACGTGAGCTTAGGTTGATTCCACATCTTTGCGATTGTGTATTGTGCTGCAATGAACATATGAGTGCAGATGTATTCTTTGTCTAATGACTTCCTTTGAGCCCATGTTTCTTAACTTGTCATATGGTTAGAAAGGACTACATTACTTCCCACAGAGGTATGTTTTATCCTCATTTTATCTGGAGTATTTTATACCTGCAAGTAACAGGGGAACATACTGAGAATATTCATTTAAATATTCATTTAAATCATGAAAATAGAAAAGATGCACACTAATATTAATTACCAGAGCATAAACTGTTCAAATGTATAAATTGTATAAATTGTAAGCATTCATGATTTAATATAAAACTTTATTTACCAGTAAGAGCAAATTTATTGGCACTCCATTTTATTCATTAGATTAACCTTACTTAAGATATTCTGTCTCTATCATTTTTACATTTAAGGAAATTTTTGATATTATAGCATTTCCTATATGAAATGCATTAAAATAAAACTGCTTCAATAAATATTTTCATATTTATACGCTTTTTCTGTAAACAATATGTCTATGGTTAACTAATTGGGATATGAAATTTTCTTCAGACCCTTGTAACTTAGAAATTATTAAGCAGTAAAGTTTATTTCTATGTGTTATTTTTCTTAGTAGCAGGGGATCATACAATATTTGACTTATCTGGAAGGTCATATTCTCCACAGGTTTAAACTTCATTTCAATGTCAGGTGTTAAAACTTTCTGAGATTTGGCTGATTGGCTACATGATGAAGGTTAATTTGTTAAATTATTGTCATTCAAGTTAGGTCTTTTTTTTTTTTTTGAGTTGGAGTCTCACTCTGTCACCCAGACTGGAGTGCAATGGCACGCTCCTGGCCACCACAGCCTCGATCTGCTGACTCCAGCGATCCTTCCGCCTCAGCCTTCCAGGTAGCCGGAACTACAGGTGCGCGTTACCACGCCCAGCTAATTTTTGATTTATTGTAGAGACAAGGTCTCACCAAGTTGCCCGGGTGGGTCTCGAACCCGTGGGCTCAGGCAATCCATTTGTCTTGGCCTCCTAAAGTACTGGGATTACAGGCTGAGCCACCGGGCTGGCCTCAAGTTAGGTCTTTTAAATTTCTTTCAATATCCCTTTAACAGAATTACAACACACAGAGAAAAATGGTAGTGGGCATTGATGCCACCTGTATGCACTATTTCCATTGTAGTGGAAAAACAATTTACAGATGAGCTCTGCTCATATATCTAATGGGGATTAAGTTCCATGAATATATACTTAACAAGCAATCGTGCTCAGGTAAACAATGACTGAAGTTTTGGTGTGTTAGACTGATTTGAAGGTATCCAATACTTGCATGACTTCACTTTAGCAGTTCAGAGAATGTTCTCTAAGTTAAATGCCATGCCTGGTCAAAACTGAGAGGTCTAAGATTCTCTCATTCTCTTTGCCCTTTCTAGTGTTGTTTTGCCGCAGAATTCACAGGATATTTATCCACTCTGTGTCTTTCCCCCTTTATTATATTACCAGTGGAAGCCTCAACCCTCCCCACTCAAGTGGTTAGGGTGCTTTGTTTGTTGGGGATAGTACATTTCTTCTGTGTGCTTCTACTGTTATTTACAAGGTAATCTTTGGATCCTTTCATCTGGCTGTGTAACTGTGTGTGAATCAGTCTCTCCTGATTAATATTTGCTGCCACAGCCTGACTGACTGGTATTCCTGGCCACGGGTACCTGACTGGGCCTCCAGGAGACTAAAACTTTGCACAGGACTGTTCTTGATGACAGTGTCTCTTCAGTTGCAGGCTTCTGAATCCACTGTGAAGAGTTTTAGTGTGTGACAATGTACGTGGGCATGTGAAAGTAGGCCAGGGGAGGTAGGAAGGTGGTCCGCTTGTACTTCTGACTATCTTCCAGTCCCCCTTCCTCACTAAAGATTTCTCCAATTTTAATATTCTGAAGACTTGTTTGGAATTGTCTGTTGAATAAATTTAGCACTTAGGGCCTTAATAATCTTGTGCCATATGTCTTTCAAACAAATCAATTCCATTTCAGTGCTTAACGGCAGCACCAATTTACTGACGACTACCAAAGTACCCCTGACATCTCCCCTAACTTAAGGCCGTTTATCTTTTCTTTTCTATCAGACTGCTGTATATATTTTAACCTTGCCCGCCGCCTCAAAAACAAATGAAAACAGAGCTAACTGTCACAATGCAGAAACTTAGTGAGCTCTGTGGTAGACAAATCCACACGCAGCAAGAAAGGCTGTAGTTGGGAATGAAGAAACACACCGACACCAGATTGCAGGCCCTCTTCCCTTTGTTTTAGAATCTTTCCTTCCGTGGGATCTGCACCAGGTAAGAAGTGAGTGGGTGGCATGTGCAGATGAGGTCAGCTCTGGGCATTCGGCATAAGCGTAAAATGCGCCCCGCTGACATCCTCCCGCTCAGCGGGTTCCTCTGGGGTCCGGACTCCCGGCGATCCAGCACCCCCTGGCCCCGCACCCCTTGCCTGGCCGCGCGCCCTCGCCGGGCCCCGCCCCTCTCGGCGCCGCCGCAGTGCGCTCCGCGCGCCTGGTCCTCGCTGCCCGCACTGTAGAGGCGCGCTCCGGCGGGCGCGGGGT